CTCTAAAAAAAATTTCTATTTCATTTAGTTTAAATTGTTTGTATACAATTTATCATAGTATTTTCTTATAATGTTTTTATTTCTGTAAGTTTGGTAGTAATTACCATAATCTCATTTCTGCTTTTAGTAATTTGAGTCTTCCTTTTCTTGCTAGTCTAGCTAAGGTTTGTTGATCTGTTGATCATTTGGAAGAACCAACTATTGGTTTCTTTTGATTCTATTGTTTTTCTATTCTCTGTTTCATTTATTTCCACTCTACTCCTGATTATTTTCTTCCTTGTGCTAGCTTTGAGTTTAATTTGTCCTTATTTTTCAAGTTCCTTTGTGGTTTGTTGTTTCATTTTGCATTTTGGGTTTTTCTGGCAATACTTGAAATTGAACCTAGGGCCTAGCACATGCTACACAAGCCATCTGTATCCCTAGTCCCTCCCCCTGCCTTTTATTTATTTATTTTTTAAATGTTGAGATAGGATCTAATTAAGTTACCCAGGCTGGCCTTGAATTTGTGATCCTCCTGCCTCAGTCTCCCCAGTTGTTGGGATTACAGTCATGCATACTGCACCTGACTTCAAGTTATTTATATAGAAAATTTGGGGGCTGGGGTTGTGGCTCAACAGTAGAGTGCTTGCCTAGCATGTGTGAGGCGCTGGGTTCGACCCTCAGCACCACATAAAAATAAATAAAGATTTATTTTTTAAAAAAAGGTAGAAAATTTTGATTTACGGATTAAAGATCTTCTTCTTCTTTTTATGTATGTTTAGTTGTAGATGGACATAATACCTTTATTTTATTTATTTATATGTGGTGCTGAAGATCAAGCCCAGTGCCTAAAACATGCTAGGCAAGTGTTCTACCACTGAGCTACAACACCAGCCCAAAGATCTTCTTTAACATGGACATTTATGGGTATAAATTTATGGGTATATTTTCCCATAAGCACTGCTTTTGCTACATGTCATAAGTATTGGTATACCTTTGCTTTCATTTATCTCAGAGTACTTTGTAATTTCTCTTTTAAGCCATTGGTTATTTAGAAATTTGTTAATTTTCACATATATGTGAATTTCCCATATTTTTTTATTTTATATTTTTAATTTCATTCCATACAGTCAGGAAAGATACTTTGTAGATTTCAATCTTTCAAAACTTATTGAGATTTGTTTTTGAGACTAAACATGTATTCTATTTCAGTAATGTTCAATGTACACTTAAGAATATGTATTCTGTCGTTGCATAAGATGATCTATAAATGTTCTATCTCGTTGGTTTAAAGTATTGTTCAAGTCTTCTAATTCCATGTACATCTTCCATATTCCATCTAGTCCTTTATTTATTTATTTTTGTAGTTGTAGATGAACAGCATGCCTTTATTTATTTTTAATGTGGTGCTGAGGATCGAAACTAGTGCCTCACATGTGCAAGGCAAGCACTCTGCCACTGAGCTACAGCCCCAGTCCTATCTAGTCCTTTATTAACAGTAGGGTATTGAAGTCTTCAACTATTAGAATAAAACTGTCTAAAATTACATCTTTATACATTGTGTGCCCATTAACATAGATTTGTTATTATTGTTTTATGCATTTGTCATTTAAATATTTATTTACTTACTTATTTATTTATAGTTGTAGATGGACATAATGCCTTTATTTTATTTATTTATTTTTAATGTGGTACTAAGGATTGAACCCAGTGTCTCACACATGCTGGGCAAGCACTCTGCCACCGAGCTACCCCCAGACCCATCATTTAAATCTTTTATTAAGAAGAATTACAAGTCAAAAATACAAGCAAACAAGTTTTATACTTGTGTAGTTTACATTTAGTAGTGTTCATTTCTTTTTTTTTTTTAATTTATGGGTTTTTTTAAAAAATATTTTTATTTTACTTATTTCTTTGTATGTGTTAATGAGGATCGAACCCAGGGCCTTGTACTTGCTAAGTGAGCGCTCTACCACTGAGCCACAACCCCAGCCCAAGTGTTTATCTCTTCACATGACTTTGAATTACTGCCTATTGTTAGCACAAAAGAACTGAACCGGGTGCAAACTTCATGGATCAGAGCCTTTATTCAGCAATTGAGTCAGCTTCTGATAGACCCACTTTCCTAGTGGAAAATGAGCCCCTGGCCAAAGGGGGAGTCTATGATTATGTGGGTTATACTGTGAGGTAACTTAATTTGCCAAAGCATGTCTAATGGAGGGTCTCGGATCAGCATTCGGTATTTATCTCTTTCCCTCCAGGGTTCCATTGTACTGTCACTGGGAAAGGATTTATTTTGGGAAGGATCAATGCTTTGGCTTCTTCCCAGAGACTGCCAGTCTAGGCTTTGATGGATATTTCCTCTGCAGGGATCGTCTTGCCACTGGATGATGTTTGCTTCCTTTCTAGGGATTGTCTCAGACACTGGGAAAGACTGTATTGGGAAAAGATCAATGTTATCAATATGTTGCCTTCTTCCTCACTCTTCCCAGGCCATGCTATTTTGGGGTTTGTCATTCCACATCTAATACCTACCATCTTTCCCTTTCAAACTGAAGCAAAGACTTTAGCATTTCTTGTAGGGCAGGTCTAGTCATGATAAAAAGTTCCTGTTTTTGTTATTCTGGGATCATCTTCATTTTTCCTTTATTTTTTGGAGAATTCCAAATTACAATGTGACAATTCTGGATACCAGATTCTTCCCCTTCACACCAGGGCTTGTTGTTGCTGTTTATTGTGACTAATTTTTGTTTCTTTAGTGACTATCCTGAACTAATTCTATAAAGTCTGTATTCTTTGTTTTGTGGCCACTGAAGTCTCTATTGGTTTAGTGGTCAGTTAGTGATTTCATTTATTAAATGCCTAGAGCCAAAAAAGATAAATAGCCAAATACAAGAAAACACTGTCAGCCTTTGACAATTAACTATGTGTTGGGATAGCCAGGCAACTTACAACACAGCTTTAGCCTTCACTGAACTTGCATATAGCCTGAAGGTGAGTCAGAGAAATGTTTTGGGGTCTTTTCTGAGCATACCTCCAGATCAGGACATGTGTATGGCTTTCTAGATTCTCCAGAATCAAAGGAAGCTTTTCAGAGCCCTTATTCCCTCAAGAAACTCCTTCCTCAGCTTCTTTCTTCCCAGTATTATTGGTCTGTTTATTTCTTGCTTCAACTGCCCTCTCTGCAACCTGTGGCAACAGCTGATGTGTGTGTGTTTTAATGTTTTTGACAAACACTGCCCTAGGGAAGTGCTGAAGCAGATGAAACTAAGACAAGCCCTTAGCTGAACCTTCAAGGAACCACCAGACAGGTCAAAACATACAACTACATCAGGAATGTGGGCTGCCATCTTCAAAGCCACCAACCTGGGGAGTAGATGACCATAGAGCTCTGACCAAAATTCAGTAGGTTTTTCCTCCAGTATTTCTCTGGCTGTTGTAAGATTTTTAAAAATGATTATTTCTAGTTTCAAAAAAAAAAAAAAAAGGCGATTCCAATAGTTTTGCCAGCTTATTCATTGCCTTTATGGACAAAGTTACCAAGTTCCCTACTTGCTGCTTTTGTGGACAACACTCCATATCACTTACTTCTGAACTTCCCCATCTTATTTTTCTCAGTCTGGAATGCAGAGAATAAGAAAATTTTGCTATCACTGAAGCTATCAAAAGAATGTAATGTTGATTTGAAAGCAGGGCCAGAGAACAGTTGCAAAAGCACTAGATAGACATCATCAACAAAGTAACTTTTATCTTTCTTAAAGGCAACATACACAAAATCACCTACGTTGCATTCATTAGGTCCTCAATAACAGAGCCAGTATTTGATAAAGTTTGAAAACACAGGCTTTGGGATAAGACCTTAATTTTTGAATTACAGATATTTTGCCACTTGAAAGGTGTTTAGCCTTGGCAAATCACTTAAATTCTTTTAAGACTTTTTTTTTTTGGGGGGGGGGGTTGTTTTCTTTGAAATGGGGTCTAGCCATGCTGCCTAGGCTAGTCTCAAATTTTCCATCCTCTTGCCTCAGTCTCCCCAGTACCTGGGATTACAGGCATCTGCCACCACAGTGCCTGGTTTAAGACGGTTTCTTTACCTGTGACACAGAGATAATATACACTTACAAAATTGTGATAATGGCTTAAAAGGAAATATATGTAAAATACTTGACATTCAGTGCTATTTGTTAAATGGATTTTTAAATTTAGTTCTTGATGACGTTACAGCACATATTGTTGGTTTGGGGTTTTTGTTTGCTTAAGTACTGTCTATTTTTGTTTGTTCTTAAGTACTGTCTATTGCAGTTATTGTTTTTTGCTGGTTTATTTCTATGAGCCACTGGCTGCCTATGTAGGAAGGGCTTAGGGGTTGCCATATGGTTTTCACGGATTTACTTTCAGCTGACTTTTCTAACAATCACATTATTTTTACCTAGGTTGTATATTTATTTGCGTTGGCTTTGGGAAATCTGCTGGGAAGAAGGGGGCTAAAATCCCCCCAAAGTCTTTTAGTTTAGAGACTAATTTATCAATACATAGAAAACCAACCTAAATGTCTATACGATGGACAACTCAGCAATTCTATTTGGTTCCCTTTCTTAATTTCTATTCTTTTTTTTTTCAAACCCAGGTCCGATAGGTTTCTGTAAGGTCCAAGCACGTGACCACATAGTACAAAAACAGCCGCGAAAGCCTGAGAAGACAGACAAAGGGAGGTCAGCCCGACGTGGGGACTGCCCATCAACGATTTTTCTCCGAGGTTGTAAATACGACAGGAGGCCGCGCCTCTCCTCCCAGGTGCCCTGGAGACTCGAGCGCCCGCCGGACCGCACACCTGCGCGCGGGGCGCGGTTCTCCCGACGCCGACCCGGCTCCGCCGGAGAAGCGCACGGCCGCAGGGCCTTCTGGGAGTCGTAGTCCGCGGCGGCCGAGCTTTGACAGAGGCCGCCGGTACGGCGCACTCAGAACTCCATTGCCCGCCGGTCCCCGCGGCCCAAGGCATTGCCTCTTCCTGTTTGGGTGACTAATAGTCCGGCGGCCGCGAATTGCGAGGGTTTGGAAAAGGGTCTACGCTTTCCCGTCCAGTTGGCCTGCTCAGGTAGAGCACGTTTCTGATCTTGCAAACAAATTATCCCCTCCGGAGGGTGGACAGGGAGCGGACGGGAGGCGGCAGGGAGGGCTGACCTTGCGCCGAAGCCGGCTGTCACCTGCGGTAGTTTTTTGGTGTGGCGAGTCGGCACAGCAGCTTCTTGGGGGAGCCGCGAAGCCAAATCCCGGGCCGCGGAGGCTGCTCCCTGGAGGCTGCGCGCGCTCCTCGCCTCCTCACGGGCTGGAGAGCAGTAAAGTCAGGGAGCCCCCGGGAGAGGAAGCGGGCGTCTACTGAAGCCTTGGGGAAAAGGCAAGTGTTAAGTGGTAAGGCAGATGAACATCTTGACTCCCAAGTGAGAGAAGGTGAGTTGGGGTTTTGCAGGAACCGAGTACCCTTCTCTTTTCAGAGTAGGGAATAGCTGGCGACAGGGTTTAAGGACGGAAGCCCCTTTTCGCCTTGAGCTAGGACCACAGATGGCTTGGGGGGGCCATCGCTGGTAAGCGCTTCGCACGCTTGTCACGAGATTGACTAGTGCCAGTTGAGTATCCTGATAGTGGGTGGCTTGGTATGTTAGCTGTCTAAGAATACTGGAGCTGGGAGAACATCTGGCCAAGAGCATTCGCCTCACTTTACAGATGAGAAAACTGAGATTCCCCCGAGTTAGAGGAACCCATTCATCACCAGACAGCCAGTTAGCGGCCAAATTGACTAAAACCTCATTGTCATGAGTCGGACAGTGAGAACAGTAGATTTGCAAACTCTAAGGCGCACCCCTTCCTTTTTTCTTAATCTCTGGGGATCTTTTTGTGTTGTTACACTATTAAATAATTTAGTAGTAAGTTGTTTTTCTGTTTCACGATGCTGAAGATAGAACTTAGGGCCTCATGCATGCTAGGCAAGCTCTCTACCCCTGAGCCACACACTGAGTACACCCCCTCTTTTTTTTTTTTTTTTTTTTGAAACCAGGGCCGCTTAACCACTGAGCCAGGTCCTGAGTCCTTTTTTATTTTGAAACATCGTCTTGCTAAGTTGCTGAGGGGCTCCCTAAGTTATTGAGGCTGACCTGGAACTTGCAAAGTCCGCCTGGCTCAGCCTCCCTACTCGCTGGGATTACAGTTGTGCACCACCAAGCCCAGCTTGCCTTTTTCTTTTTAATGCCTTTGTGGGACATGATATTGAATTGACATATACAGAAAAATAGACAACTGCTCAGGGGAAAGGCTTTTATTTAAACTTTTCAGTAGTTCAAAGTAACCCTAAATACGTAACTTTAAGAAAAATTTCTGCCTTAAACAACTACAATTCTTCATATGAAGATAAAAGGTTGATAGCAAAGATAGCACCTATAGTTTCTATGCCTCCAAGAAAACAAAGTTTACCTTTCCTTTCCTATTTATGCCCTTTAGAGCTCTGAGAACAGTTAGAAAATCGTTTTTTCCCCTCATAATCTTAAGTACTGTCTATTGCAGTTACATACATAAAAATTGCTGTTAATAGTGATTTTTAAATTTGTTTTATAATACCCTAAATATTTACAATAATGGGTAAAATTAGCACAGAAAGATAGGAATACCAACCTGAATTGCAAATTAAAATGATACTCTATAATATTTTTTTAGAAGAATAGGGCTGGGAATGTATCTGAGAGGTAGAGCACTTGCCTAGCATGCTTAAGGTCCTGGATTCCATCCCCAGTACCAGAAAGAAGAAAGAAACAAAGAAAAAAAAAAAAAAGATATAATGCCATTAAAGTTTTAAAAAAGGAATAAGAGGTTAAAATTTTCTACCAGGCCTGTATTTCTGTTATGGCATATGTGTTTTCTTCTGTATAAGTCCATAATTGAAAGATCTGTGGCAAATTTATCTAACTCCCTTCCTCTGTCACTGAGCTACAACCCCAGCCCCTCTCTATGTCTTTTTGAAGAGGATAAGTGCTTCATTAAAGGCATCAACATTTTAAATAACATTTCAAGTTATCACATTTATCTGGTAAACCATTGATTTCTTATTGGGACCTATCTCACTTGGTTCATACTGCTCTAAGAAATACCTCAAATTTAATATTTTATAAATAACAAGTTTATATTTAACAGTTCTTGGAGCACGAAGTCAAGATCAAGGTACAGTCAGATTCAATGTTTGTGAGAGCCTTCTAAAATGATGCCTTCTTGGTATATTTCTCTCCCTTCTACCATGGAACACATATGTATTCCAGAAGACTAAATTTTTAGCCTTTGAGAAAGAACATATAAATAATTGTGTGATGGGTCCATAGTTAAATTTGTTGGTATTCTATTGCAAATTGATACATGTGTGTCCCATGTTAGAAGGGATAGAAGGGTAAAAAGGGGCCTACCTAGTTCCCTTTGGCCCTTTTATAAGGATTAATACTTAGTCATCTCATCTCCTTTTTTTTTTTTTTTTTGAGACAAGGGGTCCCTTCCTGTTGTCCAGGCTAGCTTCAAACTCCTGGACTCAAGTGATTCTTCTGTCTCAGCCTTCCAAATAGGTGGGACAACAGGTCTATGACACTGTGCCTAGCAGGCCCCACTTCTTCTTCTTCTTCTTCTTTTTTTTTTTTGGTACTGGGGATTAAATTCAGGGGCGCTTAACCACTGAACCATGTCCCCAGCCCTTTTTTGTATTTTATTTAGAGACAAGGTCTCAGTGAGTTGCTTAGCGCCTCACTAAGTTCCTGAGGCTGGCTTTGAACTTGCAATTCTCCTGCCTCAGCCTCCCAAGCCCCTGGGATTACAAGCATGCACCACAGCGCCTGGCTCAGGCCCCATTTCTTGACACCATAACATTGGCAATTAAGTTCCATTATGAATATTGGAGGGAATACAAATATGCAAACCATAGTAGGACTCCATTTTAAACCAATCTTAAACAATTAGGAACTCCTTATTGGTTGACTTAGCTTTGACTTAATAGTCTCACATCTGTGACTTTGTTTTAAAGCTAAAATATTTAATGAAATATTGAAGTGAATATGTCTGTTTATGACAACTTGCATATTTACCAAAAATCATAGCAGTGTTATATCTATGGCAAATAAATACTGGAAGAGTATTTAGCATTTTAGTTAATCGTTGATAGACTTTTCTGCATTATCATCTATATAATAATAGCTAAGGAACTCTAATTCACCTCTCAACCTAATTTATCATACTCCAAAATATTTTATAGTTCTTATCAAGACATTTAAAAAAGGCATTAAATTGCTTTTAAACAACATTCTAGGGAAATCTGACATTCAGGCTAATTGAGGCAACTGAAAATTACCAGTTTCCTTTCAAGTTCATCATATTTACTTGAAAATTATTAAATATTTGATTAAAAGGCACCAGGAACTTTGGACTCCTCAACTTTAATTACTTAAATTGCTAAGATATTGTCAGTTTTCTGCTTCCTTGAAATAAATAATTTTACTATGGCACAAAATTTCAGGCTTGTTCAAAACAAATATTCATATATTAATAAACTGGAACCTTTATTTTAATTCCTGAATAACACTTAAATTTTCCTATCCTTGATTATTATTTTTTGGTAAGGCTGACTGAAATTCCAGGATCTTTCTAAATTTCTCTTTCCTGTTTTCCTAGCATTCACTCTGTAGTTAAAATATGATCTTCAGGAGTTAAAAGGATCTAGTCTCTCTAAACTCAGTCACATTCTCATATTAAATTATGTGGCAGAGTATATTGGTTACAAAGTAAATTTTGAAGAGTAGCCATCTATTTCTACAGTTGTTTAAGAAGGTATCTTTTTGCTACTCTACTCGGCTATTGTCCTTTTCCTGTTTCACTGCCACTAGAAGCGTTGTTGCTGCCTAAAGAATACCTAACCTTGAGACAAAAAAGTTTGCAATAGGAAATAGATTCATCTAAACTAGTTGACTTCAAGAAAACAAACTTCATTGTGTTCAAATTGCTGTCTGGATACCCAGGCATGCATTTTCAATCATCCTAGTCCCAGCTGTGTTTTAAATAATTTAAGACTATTTGCCATTTTATATATTATTGTGCTTTTTTTTATTTGTTGTTGTTCTTTTTTTTAAGATATAACAGTAGACTGAATTTTTTTGTGTGTGTGAACACAGTATCTTTATTTATTTATTTTTATGTGGTACTGAGGATAGAACCCAGTGCACACATGTGAGACAAGTGTTCTACCACTGAGCTACAGCCCCAGCCCCTTATTGCTCTTTTTTATTTACAAATAGATTTGTTTTTTAAAAAAGAAGAAGGAAAATAGAAAAAGAAAGAACTGATTTATAGATGTTTCTTTTGTCTTTTAGGTAATCTTATTCTTTCTTGAGGCATATATCAAGTAGAAAAAACATTTGGGATCAGATCAGAGTGACTTGTTTTAATCCCAAACTTTATTAGCTAAGTGATTTTAGGACAAATTTCTTCTCTGACCTTCAATTTCTTTTCTTTCTTTGTCTGTTTTCAATATGAAGATGAAACTTATTTCCCAAATTCTAATGATTAATTGGAATTAAACAATACCAGGTAAGCCATTAGGCCAGGAGGAGGCATTCAATAAGTAAAATTTATTTCTATATTTCCATCTCCTACTGCCTTTCCATCGATTTGTTTTTGGTTTTTTTTTTTTCCTTGAGTTTTCCTCTAATATGGTACCATTTTCTTCTTCAGAAATAAATTATTTTCCGTTAGTATTCTTCTGTTTGTGGCAGTTCATTCATTTTATGATGGTCAACCATTTAATTTTTTTTTTTTCAGTTGTAGAGGGACACAATATCTTTATTTAATTTTTTTTTTTTTTTTAAATGTGCTGCTGAGGATTGAACACAGGGCCTCACCAGTGCGAGGCAAGCGCTCTACCACTGAGCCACAACCCAGCCCCCATTTAATTTTTTTTTTAAACCTTGCTGAGTTCACTCCCATGGTACTAAGGATATGAATGTATGTTAGCTGATTTTATTCAGGCCTGAAGTAAGCCAATGCAGATTTCTTTTATAGTTACTTTTGAAGAGCCAAACT